CCTGCGCCTGCTGCCAGCATCCCCCGGGAGCCGCAGGCAGCAGTGGGATGGCATTTTTAGCCGGCAAGGCCCACGCCGGCTGCCAGGCTGGTGCATGGCCGGGCGCCCACGTCACACATACACCCACCGCGCTCTGGATGAGCCACCTGCAGAGCGCCTCTTGCAAAACCACCCTCCATGTGCCGCCGAAAGAAGTTCCTGGTTTCACCGTGCCGCAGCCACGCTGTGGGTGCCGGCACCCTAGTGCCTGCTGACCTCCCCACATCCCTTTTTTTTCCCCCCCCCCCCGCACTACAGGAAGGGTTCACATATGCCAAGCATCGATCCAGCCCGTGGTGCGAGGACAATGCTGACTAATCCAAACTCCTCCTGCTCCCTGGTGCCAAGCGCGGCAGTGACAGATGGGTGCTGTGAGCGCCGGGGGGTGGCGGTGGGGAACAACCGGAATGGGAGCACGAGGCTGTGGAAGCAGCGCCGATGTTCCCAGCCCTCGTCTGGATGGATTCCGCTCTGGACTTTTTTTTGGCTGGCAGCCAGCAGCTCCAGCCCCTGGACATGGGCTGCCTGGGAACGGGCGAGAGGGGGTTTGGAGCAGCAGTTTAACCTCTGGTTGAATCCCCACTTTGCCAAGGGCAGGGGGCAAGGCAAGGGCCAGAGCGAGCCTTGCCAGGCAGGCAGCGCTGCTCCGACTCTGAGCAGGAACGTCGCTGCTTTGCCAAACCACGAGCTGACGCAGGGAGGAACCCTCCCGCCCAGCCTCTACCAGGGCAGAGCCCTCAGACCTCGGTGACCACGATGTGCGGGAGAGATGAACTGAGCCCCATCCACCTCCTGCACGCTGCAGAGCGGCCGGCACCACCCGGCTGAGCCAGACGGCGGGATACGCTGCCAGGCTCTGCCACCGGCACCGCCACGTTGGCACTCCCAAACCCCAGCTGGACCAGTCTATCCTGTGCAGCCAGAAGCTGCTTTGAAATGCAGAGCAGCGCCCACGGGAGACGGGCCCCCTCGGGGTGCAGCCGGGAGGGCAGGACAGCCCTGCAGCATCCGTGGCTCCCAGGGCACCTTGCCCGGGGGTCACCCACTGGTATATCCCCACCACCACTGCCCCCCCGAGCCGCAGGGGCTGCCACCAGCTGCGGCTTTCAGGAGATGAGCCCAGCGTCCGGGGGGAGCACGGCGGCAGAGCGGTGGCTCTGGTGGAGCCGACTCACCTTGGCGTGGTAGGTGATGGCGCTCTTCGCTACCGCGCACTGTTTCTCTACCAGGAAGCAGAACCGTCTCCTCTCTTCTGTGAGCGCCGTCTTGTAGCCATCAGAGACGTAGTTTTCCAGCTCGCCTTGCTTGTTGCTGATGGCTTCGATGTACTGGAACAGGAAGAGACGCAGAGAGGTGGCTGCCTTCCCCGCTTGGCCCACTGAGCGCCTGCCCCTCTGCGCGCAGGGGAGGGGGATGCTGCGGCACCCTCCGGAGAGGGGTCGACGGTGCGGCTGTTGAAGG